GTGTACCCCTACACGAGCTAAAAGTGTTCCGTATTCCATGCGGGGTTCGACGAAACAGAAGAGACAGCTGAACAGGATAACGAGGGAATTGCATTAATGTGTCTCGAAACGCGCCTCTGGCAAAACTTGCCCGTTTACGAGCTTCATCCCACCTTGTAATTACGAATCACCTTTTCTGCAGGTACGTACATGCTCACTGGACGAATGATTGACTACTGTAAATTTTGTTGTTACGAGAATATGTAAGCTCGCGTGATTTTGTTACAATGCTTCGTCTATTATTTGGGGAGAAGTTCTTTTCAAAAAAACTATATCTGCATATGATCCATATATTACGATTCATGAAAAGGAATAATGCAATTATAGGTAAAATATAAGTTTGAAGGGTGTTCTCGAAATAATGGTAGAAGGGATCAGGAGATAATTCTAAATGAAAAATAATCTATCTGTAACACGAAGCTTAAGATACAAAAAAATGTTATTCTTTTCTCGACTTATTTTTGCATGTAGAATCATCATCCTTGTACCACGTTTTCGGGGTCACCTTGTATAAAGATTGGAAATGTTAGAAACTATTGAATTAACATAGGAGCTTCTATGAACTTTAACCCTTAAATGCATGAATTAATGAATTTTATTTAAAAAATAGGGTTATAATTTTTCAAATGAGTGGAAATCGGGAAAAATATTAAAAAAAATTATAAGTCATATCTTATAGGGTTTTTATTGAAAAATATTAATGATTCATTTTTGGTACACTATGCAAAATAGACATAAAAATTCTTTAGTTAGTATGACATATCTATAACAAAATTATAAACCACATGCATACCACACCAAAACAAAACCAACAAACCAATAAAGGAAGCATAGTACTAAATACATGTCGTAATTATTACCATTAGTGCATGTTGTCCCATTTTTGCATCAACACGAAATAAGCCCTCCATACACATGATAGTTACGGAATATAGACAAAAGTACTAGCAAATTAATAAATAAGAGCCTTACCTTTAGAAAATATTGTTT